CTGAAGACCCCACAGCATTCTTTCGTCACTGGACTTCCTTTAGATCAGACCTTATAGATGTAAATAGTTTTGGTATGAGTTGTACATTTCTCGCTTGTCTACACGGATGTATTTTTGAAGTATGTTCTTTTGTTAAAAAGTTTAATTACATGAAGACACAGGTAATCGATGATGGAAAATAAATTCTGCATGTCTTGGCATGGATCATGATATGTATATTGTCACCAGGTACATGTCTCTTGTACGCATGGCACTCAGGTGCAACTACACTTACGTGATTTTTTACCTCATGTTTTCATGCTATGCCGCTTTTTTTTAATGGCGCTTCGCTTTTGTCACTGGTTTTTCAAATGCGTTTGCTTGAAGTGTTCATAAAGTGTTCTATGTGATTTTATTTGAATTGCGTTCTGGCATTGCATCTCGCATACATTCTGACATCTAAACAACAGGCTTAAAGTTTGTCGCTATTTTGTGTATTATCTTCTTTACTTACGTCCTTTTCAAAATTCGGCGCGATTTGCGTAAGGTCCGAAAATTGTGTTCTTCTTGGTTCGTATAGATAGTGTTCAACAAAGCAATAAGATAGATTGTTCACTGCTAGCAATGACCGCGTTCAATAAAAAATCAAACCACGATTAGATATTTGTCAGATTCTACGTTTTCATGTCTTGAATTTAGCTATATTATATATGTTTATTTTTGGATAAAAATAATCGCGGATTTAGATTCCTGCATCTGGGTCCCGGGATCCGGGTCCCGGATTCCAGAATCCACCTGTCCATTCTAGGTATAAATCAAGGTTTGAAAAACTATACCGATTTGTTTCGTCACTGGACTTTCTTTAGATCAGACCTTATAGATGTAAATAGTTTTGGTATGAGTTGTACATTTCTCGCTTGTCTACACGGATGTATTTTTGAAATATGTTCTTTTTTAAAAAGTTTAATTACATGAAGACACAGGTAATCGATGATGGAAAATAGATTCTGCATGTCTTGGCATGGATAATGATATGTATATTGTCACCAGGTACATGTCTCTTGTACGCATGGCACTCAGGTGCAACTACACTTACGTGATTTTTTACCTCATGTTTTCATGCTATGCCGCTTTTTTTCTAAATGGCGCTTCGCTTTTGTCGCTGGTTTTTCAAATGCGTTTGCTTGAAGTGTTCATAAAGTGTTCCATGCGATTTTATTTGAATTGTGTTCTGGCATTCCATCTCGCATACAGTCTGACATCTAAACAACAGGCTTAAAGTTTGTTGGTATTTTGTGTATTATTGTTCTTTACTTACGTCCTTTTGAAGACCCGGTGCGCTTTGCGTAAGGTTTGAAAATTGCGTTCTTCTAGGTTTGTTTTTTCCAGTATAAAAGCGTTTCAAAGAGCAAGAAGGCGGATTATGCACCAGTAGCAATGAATCAGCGTTCGAAAAATATTGCCTTGTTTTTTTCAAATGTTTTTTTGCGTTTTGTATTTACATCTGTTTTTGTATTTACAATCTTTTTCTGCCGATCTGCAACTGACCCCGGCTCCTTCACGACCATGACAGGCACAGACTGGGCCATAGACCGCATCCACTTCGGAAGCTCCAGCTGCAAGTCGAAAGCCATACGAAGATAGCAATACAAGCTGCACGTCCTGGTGTGCCCAGACACATAGGTGAAGGTGTCGCTGTCACCCTGCCGCACGACCTTCATCGGGCCAAGCCACCCTTCTGATTGGAACATTGCTGCCAGCTTCTCCTTCCAGTGCGCGCCGTGAACGTTGGGAAATTACAGTGGGAGCATGCAAACTTTATGCTCCAAATCTTCCAGAAACAACAATGATTCGTGCGATCCCCATCTTGACCGATCTCTTTAGTATGATCTAACAAATCTCACCTGACAGGTGGGGACTTAGTTGCTCTGTTCGCCTGCGTCAAACAGAGCAACCAATCGTTTCATAGAGCAAAAAGCTTGGAAAAGAGTGGTTTTCGGGTGCTAGTTGCTTTGTTCGACTCCGAGTTGCTCCGTTCGCCTCCGTCCAACAGAGCAACCAAACGTTTGGCATGTGTCGGTTTTGTCTGGCAGGCCGCTATGGGTGATGAGTACGATATTACTACTACTACTACTACTGCTACTACTACTACTACTACTAGCTACTAGCTACTAGCTACTAGCTACTAGCTACTAGTACTAGTACTAGTACTACTACTAGTACTACTACTGCTACTACTACTACTACTACTACCTACTACTACTACTACTAGCTACTAGCTACTAGCTACTAGCTACTAGTACTACTACTAGTACTACTACTGCTACTACTACTACTACCTACTACTACTACCTACTACTACTACTACTACGACTACCACTACCACTACCACTACCACTACCACTACTACTACTACTACTACTACTACTACTATCTACTACTACTACTACTACTACTAGTACTACTACTACTACTACTACTAGTACTACTACTACTACTACTACTACTAGCTACTAGTACTAGTACTAGTACTACTACTAGTACTACTACTGCTACTACTGCTACTACTACCTACTACTACTACTACTACTACTACCTACTACTTACTACTACCTACTACTACCTACTACTACCTACTACTACCTACTACTACCTACTACTACCTACTACTACCTACTACTACCTACTCCTACCTACTACTACCTACTACTACCTACTACTACCTACTACTACCTACTACTACCTACTACTACCTACTACTACCTACTACTACTACCTACTACTACCTACTACTACCTACTACTACCTACTACTACTACTACTACTACTACTACTACTACTACTACTACTACTACTACTACTACTACTACTACTACTACCTACTACTACCTACTACTACCACTACTACTACCACTACTACTACCACTACTACTACTACTACTACTACTACTACTACTACCTACTACTACCTACTACTACCTACTACTACCTACTACTACCTACTACTACCTACTACTACCTACTACTACCTACTACTACCTACTACATACTACTACATACTACCTACTACCTACTACCTACTACCTACTACCTACTACCTACTACCTACTACCTACTACCTACTACCTACTACCACTACTACTACTACTACTACTACTACTACTACTACTACTACTACTACTACTACTACTACTACCTACTACTACCTACTACTACTTACTACTACTACCTACTTCGACTACTGCTACTACTACTACTACTACTACTAGAGGTATTAATAGTACGCGCGGGTTCCGCACGTTATGTGCGTCTGCGTTTCGCGCGGGTTCCGCCCGTGTTGTTCTGCGAGGGTTCCGCGCGGGTGGTCGCATTCAATTTTTTTTAAGAACTAAAAATATTATGACGAATATTAGTACTACTTCTACTAATTGTAATTTAATCAAAAATTACGATTAGTATCATTTCTACTACATCTGCGATAATTTTACTACTACTACTACTACTACTACTAACTACTACTACTACTACTACTACTACTACTACCTACTACTACTACCTACTACTACTACCTACTACTACTACTACTACTACTACTACTACTACTACTACTACTACTACTTACTACTACTTACTTCGACTACTACTACTACTACCACTACTACTACTACTACTACTACTACTACTACTACTACGACTACCACTACCACTACCACTACCACTACCACTACCACTACCACTACTACTACTACTACTACTACTAGTACTACTACTACTACTACTACTACTACTACTACTAGAAGTATTAATAGTACGCGCGGGTTCCGCGCGTCTACGTTTCGCGCGGTTTCCGCGCGTTATGCGCGCTATGTGCGTCTGCGTTTTGCGCGGGTTCCGTGCGTGTTGTTCTGCGCGGGTTCCGCGCGTGTAGCCGCATTCAAATTTCTTAAAGAAATTAATATATTACCACGAATATTACTACTTGGGAACCTTTACATAATAACCTTGGGGACCTTGAGAACATTTACGTGGAAAACTTGGGAACCTTGAGGGAACCTTTACAATACAACCTTGGGAACCTTGACAACCTTTACTTGGGAAACTTGGGAATCTTGAGGGAACCTTTACAATGCAACCTCGGAAAGCTGGAGGAAACCTTGACAATATAACCTTGGAACCCTTGAGGACCTTTACAATGTAACCTTGGGAACCTTGAGGGAACCTTTACAATGCAACCTTGGAAAGCTTGAGGAAACAATATAACCTTGGAACCCTTGAGAACCTTTTACAATGTAACCTTGGGAACCTTGAGGGAACCTTTACAATACAACCTTGGGAACCTTGGAAAACTTGGGAACCTTCAGGGAACCTTGAAGAAACCTTGAAGGAACCTTGAGGGTACCTTTTGGGAACCTTGAGGGAACCTTGAGGAACCTTGGGAACCTTGAGGGAACCTTGGGGACCTTGGGAACCTTTACTTGGGAACCTTTACTTGGAACCTGGGAACCTTTACTTGGAACCTGGGAACCTTTACTTGGGAACCTGGGAACCTTCACTTGGGAACCTTTACTTGGGAACCTGTACTGGGAACCTGTACTTGGAACCTGGGAACCTTGGGGGAATGAGTTTCGGAGCTGCTCCGGTCTGCTCCGAAACCTTTACTATGGCTGAAGACCCCAAAGCATTCTGCTGTTGGGGAAAAAAACGAATGGTTAACACCTCCGGAAGATTCACCTTCCACGAGTGGTTTGTCAGCACTACGAAAGACATGCTGTTCTTGACTCATATGATGCTCTTAGGTGAGGTCTGATGTCCATGCTTACATCCTTTAAACCCAACCGACCAACCCTGCATCTGAAAAAAAAACTCTGGAAGGATTTGGAAGGGTTCAAATGAGTTCATTATGGTTCAGTTCTACATAGTTCTAACATGACATATCTACCATGTTCTGTCGTGCCATGCCGTGCCTTAGTGGTAGTTCCACGAAGGCTTGGAGCCGCAGTTGGAGCAGGTGCTGCTACGAAGGCATCAGCAGCATTCAGCAGTGCCAAGCCGCCTCACAAAGCTTCTCGCTTCGGCCACCTTGTTCCTTGTTACTTGTATCTTTGTCTCTATTTACAATTTTGCTATGTATTGCCATTCTGATTTTGTTTGAAAGACTGCCTCACTTTGGCAGCCCTGTACAAAAGCAGCAAAAGAATGGCGGAAGCCTTCCCTCAGGCAGCTCTCATTTGGTCTTGAAACAGAACCTAACATTCAGGCCATCACCTGCGGCTGCACCAGCCAAGACAAGATTGGAAGGTCTCTGCGCCATCGTCCCCAAGCTGCGGAGTCTCCGGCTGACACTGAAGGGAAGGGAAAAAGAAGGGCCAAGAGCTGCAGAGAGTCTTGTCTCATCTGTGACAAGGGTGTGCTCATGTCAGCTTACCACCTGAACACATTGTGGAACGACTCTGGCCGGACTACTGCACACTTTTTTGAGCGCAAGCCTTTCCGCTTAAGTTTCGGCGCTCAGCTGTCCCTTACCAATGGCGGGTACCAGATTGGGACCGACTCGGCTCTCGAGTCAAGGAGAAAGGTGACCCCAGCACACTGCTCTAATAGACCGTTTCAAGTGCCAATAATAGTAATCTCCCTTCATCTCACCCAAAGTGTGCAAATGCATGCATTTTATGGATGCATAGAATGGATGCATAGCCTCATAGTTTAAATGCATGTACGCATGTGTGCAGAACGTATCTATCTGTCATCTATCGATCTATCGGTCTATTTGTTTATTTAACTTACCTATTTACCTACCCATCTGTGTGTGTGTTTCTACGCACAGCTGAATGTATCTACGTATGTACCTATGTCTGTACCTATGTCTGTACCTATGTCTAGATATAGAAAATGAACACGTACTGGTATGTATTTTTCATTATATTCATGTATGTGTAGGATTGTATACGCATATATTATATACATTATATACAGCACTATGTCCGGCATGTGAAATTGTAGATGTCCTGGTCCTTTGCACAACAGGGGTGGATTGGAGGAAAGCTCTGTCCCCAATGAGCAGAGATCAATGGAAGTAGGATCTTGGAAAGAGACTTTAGTCCATTTAGCGTGTGGATCACAAAATCCAGAACATTGACATATTATGGGATTCGTCATTTCAGTTGCTGTCAAGAATACCAGCTCACAACCATGCAGGCACAAAATATATACAAAAGATTTACAAAAGAACCTTCACAAGCAATGACTATGTACAAATGGTATATGTATGTATATGTCATGTATATGTCATGTCCCTTGTGCATTCACCTCCAATGTAATGGTTTCGGTCGTTGTGCTGAGGTCGTTGGCCATTGCATACAAGCAGCACCAAAGCCGGGTTCAAAAAAGCCTTGAACTGCAAACTTTCTGTCTCTTAAAATCAACAACTCCGCGATTCATTCTGAAATACTTTGCTACATGATCCTCTGAACAAATGTATCCAAGGTTTCTGTCATAAATCAGCAAATGACGAGTGCTTCAACAAACACAAAGTTCCCAGTGCCAATCGTTCAAGAGAATCCGGCGCTCAGACTCATCCATCGCAAAGAAAACGCCGTATTGGCAAGCAAACCTTGAAGCCACACGAATTGAAGCAAAAGGAACCATATGGGAGATTATCATTGTCAAACTGTCAAACTCAAGAAAGTGCAACTAAGCCGCAGCAGTGCAAACATTTAGCCTCTCTTGGCCCAGTCGAAGGATGCAGCCTGCACGGAGGACTCGCCGGTGTAGCCAAGCTTCTCCTTCCATCCAGGGTAGATCTGGTCCGCATCCTTCTGGAAGGTCAAGAAAGCACCCTTGATCTCCTCGTGGGTCTTGGCATACTCAATCACACCATCGCTCAAGCTAATGTTGCCGAACTGGCCGGCCTTCCACTGCTTCCAGGCCTCCTCACCCTGACGGCAAGAGATGGCACCAATCTTGGGGCCGTCCTTGTGACCGAAAGAGCCACCGCCGGCAGTCAGGATCACGTTGGAGTGTCCCAGGTTCTCGAAGAAGGCTGGCAAGCGCAGGGCGTTCATGCCACCAGAGATGATGGGAGTGGTCTCCTTCATGCCTTGCCACTCCTGTCGGTAGTAAGGACCATCGGCCTCATCATCCTGCAGCATGTAAGCAATGTTCTTGTCGGAGGCATCACCCTCCATCTTGCCGAAGCTCATGGTGCCCACGTGGATGCCAGAAGCACCGATAACTCGGGAGATCTTGGTGTGCACAAAGGCAGTGTAACCACGCTGGGTCTGGGGGCTGGTCACTGAACCGTGGCCGGCTCGGTGGTAGTGCAAGAACTGCTTGGGGAAGTTGCGCCTGCAGCAGGTCACCGCAGTTCCACCTGCAACATAGCCATCAACCAAGAATGCGCAGTTCTCGGACAAAGGACCGAACTGAGACATGATGTACTTGCCGCGGGCAATCATCTCCTCAGGATCATCTGCAGTGATGTTGGCGGAGAAGAGCTTGGAGCTGCCTGTCTCCTTGACACAAGCCCTCATGGCCTTCACCACCTCAGGAATGCACTCGTTCATCTGGCAGAACACCTGGTTGCCCTGGGGCTCGTCATTCTTGATGAAGTCACCTCCCTGCCAGAAGGAGTAGCACGCCTCACCGAAAGGCTTGGGCTGCAGACCCAGCTTTGGCTTGATGATAGTGCCAACCACCAAACCACCGTTGGTGGTGCCACGGCCCAGGATGCGCCACATGTCCTCCACGTTCACGGAGGGGCCATCATACAGCCTGAGGAATGCGGGTGGCAGGTAGAAGTCGTAGATCTTGCCGTACTCCACATCACCCATACCTCTTGGCCACAGAGTAATTTTGACTATATATGTGAGCTGTTTTCAGGAACAGGTTTGCCATTTAGGTTTCCCTTTCGTTGACATGTTTCCATAACTTTCGTGTCTGAAGTTCCTGCTTTCTGGGCCTACCTGGATAGCAGGTACCTCTTTTGCACCACATTCACGTGGCGAACCCGATGACAAAGGGACTTTCAAAAGAGTCTTCGACCACAGCTGTCTCCAGGGTCATTTAAGCAGAGCTTTTCCGATCTGAGTCTTGCGGAATACACCGGTTGATTCTTTTATAAAGGGTTTTCACACGGATCCTGCAATGTGTTGTTGTGTTATGATGCAATTTCAATGAATCTCACAAATAACTACATTCAAATCATGAGAAGGGGGCAAAAAGACAAAGACAGGGAGCTAAACCAAGAAGTGGGCAAGTTACCCTGGTTGTTTCCAATTGCCAGAGTCAGGAAAGAGCACATCATGCCACGGCCGTCAGTGATGTTACGGTCAAACAAGAGGGTCGGGTAGGCAATCTTCATCTCCTCATTGTCAGGGTCGATGTAGTACACCAGCGCATCCACGGACTTGGTGAAGTCGTCAGTGGTGCACACGTTCACGTTGGTTCCTGTGGAGGACTCCGCGGCGAAGTGGGCAGCGGTGGCCAAGTAGTCATAGCCCGCCTTGGGCTTCATGATGTAGGCAACCAGCACGTGCTTGCCGTTCCTTCCAAGCAAAGTGTTGCTTGAGACAAAAACCAAATAAGAGTACAAGTCAGACCAAATAAGAAGCACACCAAATCAAAATCTAGAACCTCGCGCAAACCAATAAGAGTCGTGTGAAAACTACATCCAAATTTCCCTCTTTGTACTTAATGTATAGGTGCATTGCGTAACGTGTCATCCCGTGCACATGCATCACATACTTGAATACAACATCTAGTCACCATCAAGATCCATCAAAGAGGAGTTGACAAATCGCTACAAGGCTCCGGTAGTTTACTCAGAAATTGTCAAACTTCCCCTGAAACAGGCCTGATCAAGGTGTCTTCATCCAGGGAAAGGTCAGCATATCGGCTGGACTGATCCAAAGCCTGGCGGGCAACAACGTTCTCCTTCTTGGCAGGGGCAACACTGGCACCCACGAAGGCAGCAGCAGAAGCACGCTTGGCCCAGTCAAAGGATGCAGCCTGCACGGAGGACTCGCCGGTGTAGCCGAGCTTCTCCTTCCATCCAGGGTAGATCTGGTCAGCATCCTTCTGGAAGGTCAGGAAAGCGCCCTTGATCTCCTCATGAGTCTTGGCATACTCGATCACGCCATCGCTCAAGCTAATGTTGCCGAACTGGCCGGCCTTCCACTGCTTCCAGGCCTCCTCACCCTGACGGCAAGAGATGGCACCGATCTTGGGGCCGTCCTTGTGACCGAAAGAGCCACCGCCAGCAGTCAGGATCACGTTGGAGTGTCCCAGGTTCTCGAAGAAGGCTGGCAAGCGCAGGGCGTTCATGCCACCAGAGATGATGGGGGTGGTCTCCTTCATGCCCTGCCACTCCTGTCGGTAGTAAGGACCATCGGCCTCATCATCCTGCAGCATGTAAGCAATGTTCTTGTCGGAGGCATCACCCTCCATCTTGCCGAAGCTCATGGTGCCCACGTGGATGCCAGAAGCACCGATGACTCGGGAGATCTTGGTGTGCACAAAGGCAGTGTAACCACGCTGGGTCTGGGGGCTGGTCACTGAACCGTGGCCGGCTCGGTGGTAGTGCAAGAACTGCTTGGGGAAGTTGCGCCTGCAGCAGGTCACTGCAGTTCCACCTGCAACATAGCCATCCACCAAGAATGCGCAGTTCTCGGACAAAGGACCGAACTGAGACATGATGTACTTGCCGCGGGCAATCATCTCCTCAGGATCATCTGCAGTGATGTTAGCGGAGAAGAGCTTGGAGCTGCCTGTCTCCTTGACGCAAGCCCTCATGGCCTTCACCACCTCAGGAATGCACTCGTTCATCTGGCAGAACACCTGGTTGCCCTGGGGCTCGTCGTTCTTGATGAAGTCACCTCCCTGCCAGAAGGAGTAGCACGCCTCACCGAAAGGCTTGGGCTGCAGACCCAGTTTTGGCTTGATGATGGTGCCAACCACCAAACCACCGTTGGTGGTGCCACGGCCCAGGATGCGCCACATGTCCTCCACGTTCACGGAAGGACCATCATACAGCCTGAGGAATGCTGGAGGCAAGTAGAAGTCGTAGATTTTGCCGTACTCGACATCGCCCATACCTTGGCAACAGCTGTTGAACATGTCACAGAGAAAACCAAGGATGACTCTCAAGCAACGATTAGAAAAAAACATTCCAAAGTATATCCTGTATATGTTTAATTTCACCGGCATTGGCCCCAGATAGAAAAAAATGAAGGAAATGAAGGGTTGTTGTTTCTTAGAAGTTCCGAGCTATCCTTGCCCATTAAGCAAAATAAAAACTGCACGTTCAACGCAACATGTTTTTCAGGTGGATCCATGACAAACATGAGAAAATTGTACTTCTCAAACCCATGTATACCGGCCAATTAGGCAAAACAAAGCAAATCCTTTTACACAACGTGTTTTCATGTCGGTCTAGTATGCAATGGTTCTGCACAAACACATTTTGATCAAGGCTACAGAAGCAGAACCATGGTTACTCTTTCCACAACGTCTTTTCCGTTTCCATTCGTTCAATGAAAAAGCCGCTCAAATTCATTTTGTTCCCAGCTGGTTAAGCCAAAACAAGAACACACCATTACACAAGTCAATGTTCAGCCGCACGCGTAAATTCCAACCTTTTCCAAACCCGCTTTTCCCGGAAATGGGAAGGTTGGGAAGCAAGTGTTCCAACCCTTGGCAACCCGCAATTCCTCGACATGGGAACCTGTGGTTCCAATATTGGGAAGCATGGGTTCCAACGTTTAGCAACCCGCAGTTTCTCCAAATGGAAACCCTTGCGTCCAAGGTTGGGAAACATGGGTTCCAACCTTTTGGGAACCAGTACTTTCTTGAAATTGGAACCCGAGGTTCCAACATTAGGAAGCATGGGCCCCAACCTTCAGGAGCCCGAGTTCCACGAACGAGGAACCCCTGCTTCCAACGTTTGGGAACTCGCAGTTCCTTGAAGTGGGAACCTGTTGTTCCAAAGTTGGGAAGCGTAGGGTCTCAACCCGGAGAACTGCGGGTTCCCAAAAGTTAGAACTCATGCGCGGCCTTGGGGCCCAGGGTTCGCATGTTGAGGAGCTGCGGGTTCCCCAGGGTTGGAGCCCATGCTTCCCAACCTTGGAACCAACGAAGCGTTCCCATTTCGAGCCATTGCGGAAACACAAACACAGTTTCACTCCAGCCCATTTTTCGCAAAACAAAGCGAACCCTTTTACATAACATTTGTTCATGCCGATCACACAGCAATTGTTTCGCACAAACACACTTTCATTCTGAACCATCTTTTATGCAACATGTTTTCAGGTCAGTCTGGTACGCAATGGTTCCACACAAACACATTTTGATACGGGCTCATTGAGCAGGACCGCGGCTGCTCTTTCCACAAAATCTTTCTGTTTCCATTCGTTCAACAAAAACGCCGCACAAAGACATTTTTTTCCCGGCTCATAAAGCGAAATTGTGACCTGGAGTTCCGACATTGGGAAGCATGGGTTCCAACCTTCGAGAACCTGCAATTCCTCGAAGTGGGAACGCGCAGTTCCAAAATTGGGAAGCATAGATTCTCGACGCTTGGGAGCCCGCAGTTTCTCGAAATGGGAATGCTTGGTTTCAAAGTTGAGAAGCAGGCGTTCCAACCCTTGGGAACCCGCAGCTCCTCGAAATGGGACCCGTGGTTCCAAGGTTGCGGAGCATGAGTGACCTTTGGGAGCCCACAGCTCTTCGAAACACAAACACAGCTTTGCTTCGGCCCATTAGGCAAAAAAGAACGACCAAATGTCACCAAGCTTTCACGTCGGCCTAGTCAGCACATGTGGTACCCAAATACATTTTCATTCCGGCCCACTAGCAAAACAGGGGGAACCCTTTTACACAACTTTTCTTCACGTCGCTCCCGGAAGCACCTAAGCACCTGTATTGCACAAACACATGTTGATATCGGCTCAGTAAGCAAAACAAATGCGTCCTTTTCCACGCAAAATGCTTTTTCTTTCGGTCCACAACCAAACCATAAGAAAGTTGTACTACACATAAACATGATAGCCGGCCCCTTATAAGCAAAACAAAGCGAACCCTTTTACATAATTTTTGTTCATGTCGATCACAGCAGTTGTTTTGCACTAACACATTTTCTTTCCGGACCATTAAGCCAAACAAAGCAAGCATGATGTCTCTGCCAAGATGTTCATCCAAATGAAGATGCCACCAGCCAAAAAAATCAGAAAAAAAAACACAAATAGTCGGTGGAAGGGGAAACAGTATTGATGGATTACTACACCCTAGTAAGCCAAACCATATTGAAACAGCTACAATTGCAACCCTTTAAGCACCCATGCACATTATGAGGCATTCATCTGTCAGATAAAGTGTTGCCTTGGCAAAAGTCTTCATGTCAAAACGGACCTTTCATTTATAAGCTGCGATTTTCCTTCAAGGCAAGGGATTACTTCTTTCAAGAAAGAGTATCCCTACCAAAAAAAAGCAATCCTCTAAACATGCAGCGGTCCTTTCTGTAGAAGTGTGGTCCTCCTTTCCTTCCTTTCATAGTAATATTAAGCCTGCCTTCAATCATACACTATGTCTTTCAAAACATCAGATTGCTACACAACATGCAGTGTGTGATTGACATTCAGTATTGCTGTCAAAAGGTGCAACGGTCGATGCACATTGCAGCATTCCTTGAAACAAGAAAGACTACTGTTGAAGGAACATGCTGCTTACAGGTTGCAGCCTTATATTTACTATAATGTGCGGAAAAATGCGATACACCCTTTAATGAGGTTAAGCCTCATTCTCATGTTTTTCTCCATGGCATTTCCTTTTAACAGAGAGACCTCACTTCTTCAAAAGAATTGCCTTGAAGACAAGCTAACTCTTGAAATAAAAAGCCAAAAAAAAATCTTGTAGAAAAACAATATGTGAACAAATGCAATACATCCGTAATGAAATTAAGCCTCACCATCATTTTCCTGCAAAATATTTGCTTTAAAGGAAAGGTTCCACTTCTTAAAAATGATGTTTGTTTTGCGCTGCTGTTTCACTCATACCGGGTTCTTCAAAAAAACAGCCAACCAACTTGAACTCTAGGGAGGACAGTTAGACACCCCTGGTCCCCCAATTTCAATGTTGTGTGACAGCAGCGCTTGGCGGAGCCTTCAACAAAAAAAAGCCATTCTTGCTCCGGCCATTGAGAAGTGATGAGTAGCAACATTGATACAGTGGGTCCGGGTGCTTCCGGTGCATGTTGGAACTTTTTGGTCGATGGCTGTTTTTTTAAGAACCCGGTATGGAAGGGCATACTGCATACATGCACCCATGTCTCTTCCCAAAAGTATTTTATACATACACTTCTGCTTCACAAAAAATTGTTATTTTCACTTCTGCTTCTTTCTGCACATTGCTCTTCTGCTGTGGCATCCAACCCACTATGCAATACCAAAAAACACAAGTCAATGGAGGTCCATGATTGGTTGAGACATAGGGTTGGTTTTTTGCTTTTTGGTTTGGATGCCAAAGCAGAAGAGCAAAGTGCAGACAACATTGAAGAAATTGATTGCGTTTAGTGGTTTTGCCAATGAAGAATAAATATTTATATATAAATATATATACATACGGTTTGTGACCAGAAATAATGTTGTCTTTAAACTGAGTCACATGCAGAAAAGTTGCACTCCCACAGCCCCCCGTTCTGTGAAAAAAACGTATCTTCTTACAAAATGACTCTTCTGCTCTTCCCGACATCTCCCTACAAAATGACATGGCAAGCGTAGCTCAGAATTTCAAGATGTTTTCTTGCTGGTTCAGAACGATATCCTGAGTCTACAATGTCTACAAATGTTTCAAAGGAACCGTGCTCGGCCATCCTATGGAATGATGGCCCTCCAAAACTCTTTACAAAATCTCAAAATGGCACAACTTTGCCTGATAGGCTGTTGCAAAGTCCCCTGGTGCAGGGCCCCTTTTTAACTACAAAATGCCACTATATAAAGCATTTATAAGAGGGTCGACCCCTTCCATTCTATAAAGGAAATTTTAACGGGGATATACCGGCTCATTAAGCAGAACAATGGCTGCTCTTTCCGCAAAACCCTTTCTGTTGCCAATTAATGGGCTTGCTGTTCGGGCCCGGCATGGACCACTGCGATCTAGCCCTTGCAGTTGAGGTATGGCGGGGATTACTTTGATCCAGAGGTTGCTGTTCGGGTCCGGCAGGGACCACTGCGATCACGAGCTTGCAGTTGAGGTCCGGCGGGGCTCACTGTGATCCCGAGCTTGCTGTTTGGGTCCGGCGGGGACCACTGCGATCAAGAGCTTGCAGTTGAGGTCCGGCGGACGAGGAGGAGGAGGAGGCGGAGGAGGCGGGACATCTGACGTAAAATCTAACAACCCTCAGCTGACAGGTAGGGGAAAAGAAAACTGATCTTTTGGACCACTCTTTTAATAGATTCTACACCTAAGAATTATTTGTATCAAGCTGTCAAGCTGCCCTGGTTGTTTCCAATGGCCAGAGTCAGGAAAGAGCACATCATGCCACGGCCGTCGGTGATGTTACGGTCAAACAAGAGGGTTGGGTAGGCAATCTTCATCTCCTCATTGTCAGGGTCGATGTAGTACACCAGGGCATCCACGGACTTGGTGAAGTCATCTGTGGTGCACACATTCACGTTGGTACCAGTGGAGGACTCCGCGGCGAAGTGGGCAGCAGTGGCCAAGTAGTCGTATCCTGCCTTGGGCTTCATGATGTAGGCAACCAGCACGTGCTTGCCGTTCCTGCAAAGTGTTGACTGAGACAAAAACCAAACAAGAGTACAAGTCAGACCAAATAAGAAGCACACCAAATCAAAATCTAGAACCTCGCGCAAACCAATAAGAGTCGTGTGAAAACTACATCCAAATTTCCCTCTTTGTACTTAATGTATAGGTGCATTGCGTAACGTGTCATCCCGTGCACATGCATCACATACTTGAATACAACATCTAGTCACCATCAAGATCCATCAAGGAGGAGTTGACAAATCGCTACAAGGCTCCGGTAGTTTACTCAGAAATTGTCAAACTTCCCCTGAAACAGGCCTGATCAAGGTGTCTTCATCCAGGGAAAGGTCAGCATATCGGCTGGACTGATCCAAAGCCTGGCGGGCAACAACGTTCTCCTTCTTGGCAGGGGCAACACTGGCACCCACGAAGGCAGCAGCAGAAGCACGCTTGGCCCAGTCAAAGGATGCAGCCTGCACGGAGGACTCGCCGGTGTAGCCGAGCTTCTCCTTCCATCCAGGGTAGATCTGGTCAGCATCCTTCTGGAAGGTCAGGAAAGCGCCCTTGATCTCCTCATGAGTCTTGGCATACTCGATCACGCCATCGCTCAAGCTAATGTTGCCGAACTGGCCGGCCTTCCACTGCTTCCAGGCCTCCTCACCCTGACGGCAAGAGATGGCACCGATCTTGGGGCCGTCCTTGTGACCGAAAGAGCCACCGCCAGCAGTCAGGATCACGTTGGAGTGTCCCAGGTTCTCGAAGAAGGCTGGCAAGCGCAGGGCGTTCATGCCACCAGAGATGATGGGAGTGGTCTCCTTCATGCCCTGCCACTCCTGTCGGTAGTAAGGACCATCGGCCTCGTCATCCTGCAGCATGTAAGCAATGTTCTTGTCGGAGGCATCACCCTCCATCTTGCCGAAGCTCATGGTGCCCACGTGGATGCCAGAAGCACCGATGACTCGGGAGATCTTGGTGTGCACAAAGGCAGTGTAACCACGCTGGGTCTGGGGGCTGGTCACTGAACCGTGGCCGGCTCGGTGGTAGTGCAAGAACTGCTTGGGGAAGTTGCGCCTGCAGCAGGTCACCGCAGTTCCACCTGCAACATAGCCATCCACCAAGAATGCGCAGTTCTCGGACAAAGGACCGAACTGAGACATGATGTACTTGCCGCGGGCAATCATCTCCTCAGGATCATCTGCAGTGATGTTGGCGGAGAAGAGCTTGGAGCTGCCTGTCTCCTTGACGCAAGCCCTCATGGCCTTCACCACCTCAGGAATGCACTCGTTCATCTGGCAGAACACCTGGTTGCCCTGGGGCTCGTCGTTCTTGATGAAGTCACCTCCCTGCCAGAAGGAGTAGCACGCCTCACCGAAAGGCTTGGGCTGCAGACCCAGCTTTGGCTTGATGATGGTTCCAACCACCAAACCACCGTTGGTGGTGCCACGGCCCAGGATGCGCCACATGTCCTCCACGTTCACGGAAGGACCATCATACAGCCTGAGGAATGCTGGAGGCAAGTAGAAGTCATAGATTTTGCCGTACTCGACATCGCCCATACCTTGGCAACAGCTGTTGAACATGTCACAGAGAAAACCAAGGATGACTCTCAAGCAACGATAAGAGAAAGGATTCCAAAGTATATCCATGTAAAAAGAAAAAAGAAAAACTGATCGTTTAGACCACTCTTTTAATAGATTCTACACCTAAGAATTATTTGTATCAAGCTGTCAAGCTGCCCTGGTTGTTTCCAATGGCCAGAGTCAGGAAAGAGCACATCATGCCACGGCCGTCGGTGATGTTACGGTCAAACAAGAGGGTTGGGTAGGCAATCTTCATCTCCTCATTGTCAGGGTCGATGTAGTACACCAGCGCATCCACGGACTTGGTGAAGTCATCAGTGGTGCACACGTTCACGTTGGTACCAGTGGAGGACTCCGCGGCGAAGTGGGCAGCGGTGGCCAAGTAGTCATAGCCCGCCTTGGGCTTCATGATGTAGGCAACCAGCACGTGCTTGCCTCAGATTCAGCGCCAGAAGAGGGCTTGACAAAGGCAGTATAGCAACATGTCAAGAAATGCAGCTTGTTTTTCTTTCCATTAGGTTTGATTTGTGTCAAAGTCAAAAGCTACTACAGCGACCAAGAAAAAGGAAACATGTACAGAAAAGGAATCACAAATGAAATCCTGTGGTAGCTCAACCGTTCGATCTGGAGCAATACAAAACCAAGTCTGCTTGTTGATCTTGTTGGCATTTTCTGAGTTCCGGACCATTTCGGATAAGAGTGTCTTCATCCAGGGACAGGTCAGCATAGCGACTGGACTGGTCCAACGCACGTCTGGTGATGCAGCTCTCCTCCCAAGTCAAGTAATGCAGCACCCTCTAGATGTGTGCTATGAGATTGTCGTATTTTGAGTACAAAATGACATGCACTACTCTTAGATCTACCATATATCATATATATATATATGTTGCCTGAACATACATTGAAGAGTTGTCAATGCATGGGCGATAAAATGTTTAAACGTTTGAATAATTTGGGCTGGACCAAATTCAGATGGCAACTCAAATATCTGGTGTTATATGCGTAGAGGAATTCAACGAGAACAAAGATAAAGGCCCTACTGAAAGTAAATCGCACAATCATACAAGAGGCATACGACTTGCGAGAATGCTTCACAGAGAAGTGAATTGTACAGTATTTACTATACGGTCTGATGGTGAGCACTGTCTTAAAAAATGCTTCCAATGCTTCCTTTCAATGCTTCATAGTCCCAGATATATAGTATGTACTGGCATGTTGTATATGGATAGGCAAAAATACTTGCAGACAGTTCAGAGAAGATAAGTACACAGTGGAAACTGCAACAAACAAAATCTGCATGACCTGCATCAAGTGGACCCTACAGTGTTGTGCCTTTGATCTTCACATAAAAGCAAGTCCATGTTCTCCAACAAAAAGTAATCTGTCCCGCTATCAAACTGAGAGCTGTTAAACCATGTTACAACAACGATGATTATATTTATATTACTATGATACTATAGACTATAGACCATATGATTCATACCATATAATTATTCAATTATTTAGGCTTTGTTAGCTTCCGATCCTCTTCAATGTTGTATGATCCAGCACAAAGTCAGTAGAGCCGGCATGAAATTTCAATCTAGCCACCAGGAACCCAACTTGTTCACTCCAACCCTGATGTTTGCCCGTATTGCATTCTGGACACCATTTGCACATTATTGTTGCCCCGGTCTTTCTCAGGCAAAACCATTTGTGGCGAAAATTCAAACTCCAAATTTGAAATCAAGTTAACAACAAAAGCCGGAAAGAGAAAGAACTTGCTCGGTCCGGTCCATGGAAAATCAACCTTAAGTGTGCTGCACGTCCACACTCAAGTATGCCCGTCATTGCCCGTCTTTGTTTTCATGTGCGAGTGTCCCGGGTTGGGAGCGAACTCGCGTGCAAAACTCCTTGCCATTTGGATGAGCTTTGCTTGGGTTGGAGTGTCTTTCACTTCGCAGGTCTGCAATCTGAGGCGTTGCCACAAGTTTGGCAGGTGAATTCCAGCCAGCAGCCGGCTTCAGGGAAAAAGACTGGTTTGTGCATAGTGCTCGAATTGCTCTTGTCATATCTACCTGAAAACACACAAACTGAATCTAGGTCCACCTGACAACACCAGTATGAGTATGAGCTCTGAAGTGCACAGCTTGCAGAATGTGATGATACAAATGGAGATGGACGGGGAGAGAGAGAGAGAGAGAGAGCAAACTTTGCTCTTGATGTAGCAAAAGCAAATGCAAACCCTGAAATTTGCTGGAAAATTATGGATAGACATGTCAGGATTCCAGCAATGGTGAAATGAATGTTCCGCCACAGCAAAAGTCATCATGGAATTGCGCTGCAGCTACGACCCCTGCAACAGGAGGATTTCCACCCTACAGCCAGGCAGCACTGCGTTCCCTCTCGGATCCATCAGGCTTTTGGTTGCAAGTAGTACAGTTGCGAATCAATCAGTAACATCAATCAACTCTACTGTGATTCACAAATTTCATTAAACAACTTCTGTCTCAGTTAGGCTCCTTGACTTGGACCACGCTGGTTGGAAGAATCGACGTGCGCGACTGTCGGCCTCGCAAAATCACAAGGAGTTGACTCACATAGTCACGTAATATCACGTAGTCATAGTCTTTGAGGAAATAGAAAACGTCTTACAGCGAAAGAATGCGAAAGAATGCGAACAAGCGGTAAACGAGTTGGCCTGTTCGCTGGGTGGCAACCGCTGCAGCAGCCACAGCTCCGCCACAGGCAAGAGCAGGCAAAGCACTGGAACCGGAGGTGCTTTGACCCTGTCACCACATGTTCAATGGCAAAAATGAAATCCCATTACTCTCACTAATTAATACACATGATTTAAGATTAGACATAGATATATATAATATATAATATATATAAGCGGGCATCATGTCAATAAAATATACTATAAGCGATATATAGTAGTGATAATGGATTGGGGAAAAGTATAGAAAAAGTCGGTATAATATAATATATATAATATATAATATATAATATATATTATATATAATATATATAATAGGCAATTGATAATATATACTAGTAGGGTCGTAGTGATAGTGATCTATATAGTGGGACTAGTATCTGAAATAACATCATAATATGCAATAGTAGTGACTATACATAGAGGTATCTCATATCATTAGACATATCTCCATGGGGGTATGCTCAAGGCTTCGCTCATATATAATATATATATATATAATATATATATAATATATAGTATATAATATATATAATATATAATATATATAATATATATAATATATATATAATATAATATATATAATATATAATGTATAATATATAATATATATATATAATATATATATAATATATAATATATAATATATATAATATGTATAATATAATATATATAATATATATAATATATAATATATATAATATATATTATATATATAATATATAATATATATAATATATATAATATATATAATATATATAATATATATAATATATATAATATATATAATATATAATATATATAATATATAATATATATAATATATAATGTATAATATATAATATATAATATATAATATATAATGTATAATATATAATATATAATATAGTATAATATATATATATATATTGACTGTATTAATACTGCACATATATATAATGGACTGGTGTATCAAACCATTTAGCTTCAGGCTGCAAGGTGAACAGTGCAGACGCTGCCACTGCAGTGCCTGCGCAACGGCCAGGTTGGAGCCACGCAGGCTCGGCGCAGCAGGAGCTGCAACAAAGGCGTCGGAGGCAGCGTTCAGCAGAGCCAAGCTGCCTGGCTGCAGAGCCCTCGGGAAAGAGAGTGAAAATGATTGGTTTCAACATATTTCAACAAGTTGCAACATGTTTCAATATTCAACATGCTTCAACATGTTTTGACATGCTTCAACTTGCTTCAACTTGCTCCAACATGTCATTTGACACATCATTGTGTCAAGTGTCTCGTGGAATGAAGTGGACTGTGGAGATACTGATGCTTAAATCAGCCAGGTTCACCAGCTGCTGCACCGGCCAAAGCGATGCCGGTTGATCTTTGTGTCATGGTTGACACGGAGTTGTTGGGAGAAAGGTAAAAATGCAAGGGCCAAAAGCTACGGCAGCTACGGTGTGATCACTTTCCAGAGAGCTCCAAGCCAAGCAAGCTGCCACCTAGAGCCAAGTGCTCAACATTGTTCCACTCTGTCCGTCGCATCTGTTCATGAAACTCAAACATGCGCACTAAGATTTCTTTGCTTTTCCACCATGTGGCCCGCGAGATGTACAATTCGCCCGAACCGTGCACTTGACTGCGCTGTACTAGGACACCTCACAGTGCAGATCACCGAATTCAGAAATCAAATTGTCGCAATCTAAGAATTCAATCGTCTCTGCTTCTGCCTGGAAATTGAAGCGGGATTGGGCGTCGCAACAGACTGAACAAGAGGCAAGAGCAAGCGACGCTTCCGGCTCTTTTCTGGGACTTCGTCTGCCTGAGACTTCTGGGTGGAATCAGGCTCCACGATTTTGGACGGCCTCAATACCTTCAAGGAATCTTTGGGAAGCAAAACATGTAGTGTCAAAGGATCAACATTCTCTGCCGATGAAAGCTGAGATGCAAAGCTAATTTGCTGTTCCAGTCCTTCAAATACTTGTTTCAGAATGGCATGTCCATGCTGTCTGCTCAATGCTGGCTGCTCAGTCCACGGCGTTCTCCAAAGACAAGAAACTGGGTATGTAAGGACCAAGCCAGGGTTTGCCTTCTGACCCGCAAATTCAACACGAGCAAAGCTGGAGAGATCTGAAACTGACAAACGCCAGCCGTGAATCATCCGCCAGTACTCAACGAATGCCTCCCTGGTCTGCAGTTCAACAGGTAGTTGCCCTGTTGGAAGAAAGCCATCAGACCAAATATGGGTGATCTCAGCTGCGGTCAAACGAGGCAAGACATGAGTCGGCGGCCGTAGAACTGCCTTGGAACCATCCAAGCGAAATCGCCCTGCAAGCTCAGGCAGCTCAGGGCACTTGGCTGCCCGCATGAGAAAGGGAGCCAATGGCTGAATCAGTCGAACCGCTGTGGTTAAACAAAGCTCAGCCACCACCTTGGTGGGACTTGCATGGGCCTTTTCACAAGCAATGTCAACACATGGCACACGCAAGGACGGCCGCTGCAAAACCTCTCTTGAAAGTGCGTCCGATTGAAATAGTCTGTATGGAAATTCGACTGTCTGCCAGCTTTGTTGACACAAAGCATGTTTCGCTCCTCTGTTGCTTGCGTCACAGGAATGGTCTCAGACTGCGAAAAGACCACTGAGAACCTCTGTTCGATGTGTGAGAGCACTGCAGAGGGCACAAGATTTTTGTATCCCATCAGGGCCACAGCACCATGCACAGCTGGTGCTGCTAGAAGAGGTTCTCCACACTCCTTTGAGAGATCCACCAACAGTCTGCTCAATTGTTCCTCAGGACTTCGCAACACATAGACCCTCTCCCTAGGTCTTTGCAAAATGATGTTGCTACCGAGAATGCCATGAGGCAGAAGACTTGTTAGCGGCCCACCATCTGTAGTGACTGCAAGCCAATTCTCCTGACTGCAGCGCTTGAGGTTCAGGGGTCCCTCCAAGGCTTGCACACTCCATGCTTCAGCAGAAGCATTGGAAGCATCTGCGGATGTGACAGCATGCGATGCAGCATCCCTGTCCACAGCTGCAGTCTTCACCAGGATGACTGTAACTCGCTGAGTCCTTTCTGAGGATCCCGGGGATCCCTGCCACGTTCCAGCCACCTTGATGGAGAAGGCACTGGATTCCACTGCAGAGCAAGCCGACACTGACTCCACCTTGATGCTAATGCAATTCTGCACCTGGAAAGATAATCTTGGACAAACCACAAACTCACGCCCTGCTGAAGCCTCAATCGACCAAACGATTGGATGTCCAGCACTGCTCTCCTGATGGATTCTTCCAGTCATGTGTCCAGCACGTCCATGGCGTTGGGAAGCACCTGACTCCTGTTCCACTGGGAGCACCACATTTCCAATCTCAGCCTTTCGGGAGCGCCCAAAAGCAGTGAGGCTCGGCATGGTACCTTCTATCCCTGATGGTCCACAGACAACGTGCCTCCTACGTACATTGAAACTTTGCTTTGACATCCCATCTTGTTAAATGCTTGACGTCCCCAAGAGAATGTTGAAGCATTTGGTGCTTATCATATCTGCTATTTTTCATCTCATCATGTCAGAAATGTGTGTATTATCTGTCTGGCTGGGCAATGCCAACGTGAAAAAGGCATCTTCGCGCTGTGGAGCCAAGAAACTTGCAGTAGCGAGAATCAATCTTCAAACTGAGTTGAAGTGATGTCAACCCCGGACAAATTTTGTCAAAGGACTAGGGGTTTGACTTATAGGCCAAATTGCCAAACGAAAAGAGCTCAAGATGCCGGTCCAAAAGCTGTGCATGGGAAGCGCGTAAGGAATAAGCAGCTGCAAGGCAACAGCCACGATTCAAGCAGCGATATTTTCGGAACGCATTTTGGCAGCGTTGAGAAGTTGAGATGTTGGGAGAATTCTATGTAAAAGGATTCGATTTTGAATGCTCGTGCGCTTCTTTGAGCCCTCAGGCGTCTGCGCAACGCCAAAGGCATAGGAATCTGCTTCAGCGATTCCAACTTCAAACTCAATCTTTGACAAAAGTCACCAACAATAAAATCAAATTGAGGCAATGAGCCTCAGCCTCCATGGCAAAGTGCAAGTAGGGCTCTATTCATTCACCTTTGTATACCTCAGTGCTGCGTTTAGATCGTTTAGTCACAGGGTCAGGCTCAAGACTTTGGCATGCAAATGTAACTCATTACACCACAGCTTTCGAACTCAAACAAATCTTCCAATTGAACAATCCTCAACAGCTAAATCCAAGTATATCAAGTATCTATGCCTTGAATTCATGCTTCGTATTGGATGAGAAGGAAAAGGAATGCACACCAACACTTGAGCGATTAAAATTAAAACATACTATATACCGCAATAAAGTTCATTTATATACGCTGATCAAGTCAAAACGACACGAAACTTCTAAGCTAAACTTGTCCGTGCCGAAAAACTAGGACAAACTCAGTTCCATGTTTCCTAAACAAAATGAAGAAATCAATCTGTTCCACCAGAGACACTGAAACGCACGGCACTCCACTCAGAATCGCCCTCAATCAGATTCATACAAGCTCAAAATAGCTTCAATGTATAATCTGTATAATGGTATATTATTGTTTTATATCGAAAAGTATACATAATATAACTATAATTAATTAATGATCCTTAACTACCTGAACCCAATCGACTTACAAGCCCCACCTAATTTGACGGCATGCTGCGCTACAGATCATGCACGCTTGGCCCAGTCGAAGGATGCAGCCTGCACGGAGGACTCGCCGGTGTAACCAAGCTTCTCCTTCCATCCAGGGTAGATCTGGTCCGCATCCTTCTGGAAGGTCAAGAAAGCACCCTTGATCTCCTCGTGGGTCTTGGCATACTCAATCACACCATCGCTCAAGCTAATGTTGCCGAACTGGCCGGCCTTCCACTGCTTCCAGGCCTCCTCACCCTGACGGCAAGAGATGGCACCAATCTTGGGGCCGTCCTTGTGACCGAAGGAGCCACCGCCGGCAGTCAGGATCACATTGGAGTGTCCCAGGTTCTCGAAGAAGGCTGGCAGGCGCAGGGCGTTCATGCCACCAGAGATGATGGGAGTGGTCTCCTTCATGCCCTGCCACTCCTGTCGGTAGTAAGGACCATCGGCCTCATCATCCTGCAGCATGTAAGCAATGTTCTTGTCGGAGGCATCACCCTCCATCTTGCCGAAGCTCATGGTGCCCACGTGGATGCCAGAAGCACCGATAACTCGGGAGATCTTGGTGTGCACAAAGGCAGTGTAACCACGCTGGGTCTGGGGGCTGGTCACTGAACCGTGGCCGGCTCGGTGGTAGTGCAAGAACTGCTTGGGGAAGTTGCGCCTGCAGCAGGTCACTGCAGTTCCACCTGCAACATAGCCATCCACCAAGAATGCGCAGTTCTCGGACAAAGGACCGAACTGAGACATGATGTACTTGCCGCGGGCAATCATCTCCTCAGGATCATCGGCAGTGATGTTGGCGGAGAAGAGCTTGGAGCTGCCTGTCTCCTTGACGCAAGCCCTCATGGCCTTCACCACCTCAGGAATGCACTCGTTCATCTGGCAGAACACCTGGTTGCCTTGGGGCTCGTCGTTCTTGATGAAGTCACCTCCCTGCCAGAAGGAGTAGCACGCCTCACCGAAAGGCTTGGGCTGCAGACCCAGCTTTGGCTTGATGATGGTGCCAACCACCAAACCACCGTTGGTGGTGCCACGGCCCAGGATGCGCCACATGTCCTCCACGTTCACGGAGGGACCATCATACAGCCTGAGGAATGCGGGAGGCAGGTAGAAGTCGTAGATTTTGCCGTACTCCACATCACCCATACCTCTTGGCAACAGCTGTTAAGCTCTTGAACATGACACTGGAAAGCAGGGATAATTTCAGCAACGACAAGAAAAGTATCCAAAGTACCTTCAGAGACAATATATGTTTTTGAGATCTTAGTGACTTGATGCTACGTAACTTGATGAATAAATTAGTTGTCAAGCTGTCGAGCGGACAAGCTGCCCTGGTTGTTGCCAATGGCCAAAGTCAAGAAAGAGCACATCATGCCGCGGCCATCGGTGATGTTGCGGTCAAACAAGAGGGTTGGGTAGGCGATCTTCATCTCCTCGTTGTCAGGGTCAATGTAGTACACCAGGGCATCCACAGACTTGGTGAAGTCATCAGTGGTGCACACGTTCACGTTGGTTCCTGTGGAGGACTCCGCGGCGAAGTGGGCAGCAGTCGCCAAGTAGTCGTATCCAGCCTTGGGCTTCATGATGTAGGCAACCAGCACGTGCTTGCCGTTCCTGCCAAGCGAACTGTTGCTTCAAAGCAAAAAAAAAAGTATGAGTCTGAGCGAACAAGAAGCAAAGCATAGACCACGGCAAGGCTATGCAACATGCATTGAAAACCAATCAGTATCCAGCAATCCAAATTCCCATGATCATATCAATATGTAAAAAGTGTGTCCAAATGTATAGATGCGTTGCGTCAAAAAGCTATACAGTAAATCATATTATGCCTATATCCCATATTATATAGATATATGTATATATAACAACATGCACTTCAGGCATTTGCAAACTCCTGTACATCTACTGTTAGCCACCTTTGCTAAGTAGGAATTGAATGAAATTGCAAGCTCAATCGCTACAAGGCTCCCGTAGTTTATTCGGCAGATGTCTCATTCATCGATTCCCCCTGATGCAGGCCTGATCAAGGTGTCTTCATCCAGGGAAAGGTCAGCATATCGGCTGGACTGATCCAAAGCCTGGCGGGCAACCACGTTCTCCTTCTTGGCAGGGGCAACGCTGGCACCCACGAAGGCTGCAGCAGAAGCACGCTTGGCCCAGTCGAAGGATGCAGCCTGCACGGAGGACTCGCCGGTGTAACCAAGCTTCTCCTTCCATCCAGGGTAGATCTGGTCCGCATCCTTCTGGAAGGTCAAGAAAGCACCCTTGATCTCCTCGTGGGTCTTGGCATACTCAATCACACCATCGCTCAAGCTAATGTTGCCGAACTGGCCGGCCTTCCACTGTTTCCAGGCCTCCTCACCCTGACGGCAAGAGATGGCACCAATCTTGGGGCCATCCTTGTGACCGAAGGAGCCACCGCCGGCAGTCAGGATCACGTTGGAGTGTCCCAGGTTCTCGAAGAAGGCTGGCAAGCGCAGGGCGTTCATGCCACCAGAGATGATGGGGGTGGTCTCCTTCATGCCCTGCCACTCCTGTCGGTAGTAAGGACCATCGGCCTCGTCATCCTGCAGCATGTAAGCAATGTTCTTGTCGGAGGCATCACCCTCCATCTTGCCGAAGCTCATGGTGCCCACGTGGATGCCAGAAGCACCGATGACTCGGGAGATCTTGGTGTGCACAAAGGCAGTGTAACCACGCTGGGTCTGGGGGCTGGTCACTGAACCGTGGCCGGCTCGGTGGTAGTGCAAGAACTGCTTGGGGAAGTTGCGCCTGCAGCAGGTCACTGCAGTTCCACCTGCAACATAGCCATCCACCAAGAATGCGCAGTTCTCGGACAAAGGACCGAACTGAGACATGATGTACTTGCCGCGGGCAATCATCTCCTCAGGATCATCTGCAGTGATGTTGGCGGAGAAGAGCTTGGAGCTGCCTGTCTCCTTGACGCAAGCCCTCATGGCCTTCACCACCTCAGGAATGCACTCGTTCATCTGGCAGAACACCTGGTTGCCTTGGGGCTCGTCGTTCTTGATGAAGTCACCTCCCTGCCAGAAGGAGTAGCACGCCTCACCGAAAGGCTTGGGCTGCAGACCCAGCTTTGGCTTGATGATGGTGCCAACCACCAAACCACCGTTGGTGGTGCCACGGCCCAAGATGCGCCACATGTCTTCCACATTCACGGAGGGGCCATCATACAGCCTGAGGAATGCGGGTGGCAGGTAGAAGTCGTAGATCTTGCCGTACTCCACGTCACCCATACCTTTCGGCAAGAGCTGTTGAGCTCTTGAACATGACACTGGAAAGCAGGGATCATTTCAGCAATGACAAGAAAAGTATCCAAGGTACCTTCAGAGACAATATAATGTTTCTCAGATCTTAGTGACTTGATACCACGTAACTTAATGAATAAATGAGTATTGTCAAGCTGTCAAGCTGTCAAGCTGTCAAGCTGTCAAGCTGTCAAGCTGCCCTGGTTGTTTCCGATGGCCAAAGTCAAGAAAGAGCACATCATGCCACGGCCATCAGTGATGTTTCGGTCAAACAGGAGAGTTGGGTAGGCGATCTTCATCTCCTCGTTGTCAGGGTCGATGTAGTACACCAGGGCATCCACAGACTTGGTGAAGTCATCAGTGGTGCACACGTTCACGTTGGTACCAGTGGAGGACTCCGCGGCAAAGTGGGCAGCGGTGGCCAAGTAGTCATAGCCCGCCTTGGGCTTCATGATGTAGGCAACCAGCACGTGCTTGCCGTTCCTGCAATGCAACACGGTCGTCAATGAATGGCGGAAAGGTTGTTACACCATGGAGGTCTATGGAGAACGACTTCCAGGTATCGTGGGATTCTACAGCATCCAATATGAAATAACCTCCTAAATTACAGAC